CTCTGCGCCCGGGTCCCAGCCCCGAGAGAGAGGCCAGGGCTCAGCTCAGCTCAGCGGCCGGGGCCTTCCCCCCCTCCCCTGCCTGTGTATCAGCCAAAGCGTGGGGCCGCCACATCATCTGCTTTCTGTTTTTATTGACGTCAGAGAGGCAGGGAGAGGGAGAGTGATAGGAGCGTCAGTGATGAGAGAGAATCATGGATGGGCTGCCTCCTGCGCGCCCCCTACAGGGGATGGAGCCCACAGCCCGGGCCTGTGTCTCGACCGGGAATCGAACCCTGACCTCCGGGGTCCTAGGTCGACGCTCCACCGCTGAGCCACCCCCGCCGGGCCACATTGTCTTTCTTGCTGCCCTTGCTTCCAAGACCTTCACAGATGAATGCCTCACTGTTTCCCTTTCCTACGTCCCACCTAGAACCCCAGATTCCCCCTCCCACTGCGATGGGAGAAATTCTGCCGCCTTGTGAGCTGGGGGTGGGGGTGGGGAGCTGCCCAGGCCCGTCTGCGCGGAGGCGGCCTCTGCAGGTTCTCTCCTCCTGCTGGTGTGGCCCACTCCTCGGAGCTCGTTCCCAGCACTGGCCTCCGGAGTCCGGGTTCCAGAGCAGCATGAGGGGCTGAGGCCTGCTGGATGCCTGCAGTGTGTGTTTCTGTGCCCTGAGCGCGCGTGGGGGCTGTGAGCCAGAGTCAGAACCACAGGCCTCAGCTGTTTCCCACCAGCAGGGAAACCTGCCCAGGCCCAGGGCGGTGGGCTCAGCGGTGGCTGCCTGCAGGCTGGGAGGTGGGGGGCCTTGTGGGACCTCGGGGCGCAGGTGGGGGTGTGGGTGTGGCTGCACCCCAGCCGTCACAGCAGCCACAGCCACTCCTCTGCAGGCATGTGTATCGATGGAAACGGTCCTGGTGAGGGACAGGGAAGTGAGTCCGGCACGCCTGGAGCCCGCGGCGGGCGGACAGTGGGTTTGCCGAAAGGTGGCACCGGGGAACAGAGCGCGGCCGGGCGGCTGGGCGACTCTGGGGTCCCAGGTCGGGGTCAGCGTCCCCTGCATGTCCGCTCTGGTGACCGCAGCAAAGCTCCCCCTCTCCCCGCGACTGAGGCTCACCGTGCGTGCACGTGACATCACGGGGGTCCCTAGTGCCAGCCAGGGGGCCTGGGCAGAGGCCTCACCAGCAGCGCAGGGTGTGATGGACACGGGCCACCGGCAGGTCCCGGGGAAGGGCCGAGGGTGTTCGGTCACAGACGCCCGGATCCGTGTCTGTGTCCGGGAGGAGCTGGCGTGGGGACCCGCAGAGGACTGTGTCCCGAAGGCACTGGAGCCGCGCGGGGAGGGTTGTGGGGAAGCAGCCGAGAGGAACTGCCTCTCATGGACCCCGAAACTGCCAAGCAGCTCTGGTACACATGTTCACAGAACTAGAACAAGATCTGATGCCCATGACCCAGCAAACAGGGACGGTCAGGAGGGCACAGAAGCTGCTGGAGAGAACCAAGCGGGAGCCCTCGCGTTGCAGCGGGAGTGACCCGAATGGACCATGGACTGGGGCTGTGCGGAGTGGTTTGTGATGGCCGAGGAGGGAATCAGTGAGCTCATTGATCAGTAGACATTAGCCAGCCTACAGGACAGATGTGAAAAATACCGAAGACGTCCGGCTCAGGGGCTGAGCGTCACCCTGGGAACCAGGAGGTCACGGTTCGACCCCCGGTCCAGGGCACACGCCTTGGTTACAGGCTTGAGCCCAGGGTGGGGCGTGCAGGAGGCAGCAGATACATGATTCTCTCTCCTCATAGATGTTTCTCTCTCCCTCTCCTTCCCCCTTTCTCTCTCTGAAATAAATACAAATATATTTTAAAAAGGAAGAGGGACTGGGCCACCAGCAGGTAGTGGCCTGAAGCAGACGGGCCCATCATTTTGCTTAGGGTTCTGTGGGTCTGGGGTTCAGGGAAAGTTGAGCTGGACAGATCCCTGTCCATGTGACGTCAGCTTCTTCACTCGCATATCTTAGGGCGTGGCCCTGCTCGACGCCTCTCTCACACTCCTCCTCCTTCCTTGTTTTTATGAGAAAAATATTTTTTATTGACGATAGTATTACAGATGTCTTTCATTTACCCCCCCTCCCCCAGTCTCCTCCTTTCAGTCCCTATCCGGTCCCCACCAGATCTTCACTACCCCATAGCCCTGTCCATGGGCTGTGCATATCTCTATCTCTATTTATCTATCTATCTATCTATCTATCTATCATCCATCTATCTATCTCTATCTATCTATCTATCTATCTATCTATCTACAATATATCATCTATCATCTATCTATCTCTCTCTATCTATCATCTATCATCTACCTACCTATTTATCTATATATCTATCTGTCATCTATCTATCAATCTATCTATCATCTATCTATCTATCTATCTAGCAAGCTAATATGCTAAGTCTAACTGTCCAACCAGTCACCATGATGCGCACTGACCACCAGGGGGCAGACACTCAACGCAGGAGCTGCCATGACACACACACAGATACGGCACCACAGACCTGGCGCCCACAAAGCAACACTCAGCTTTCCCCAGCGGGACACAGCCCCCCTCCCCCCCAGAGCGACAGCCCACCAAATCGCAGCCAACGCCGCCGAGACCCCGTGGCACAAACAGCAGCCCACAGCCCGGCCCGGAAATGGCGGCCGTGGGTGCCGGTGATGACGTCACACAGCAGCACCGGCCTCCTCCCCCCAGCGACGAGCCTCCTGTTTCTTCCGCCCAGAAACCTGACTTGCTTTACAGCAGGTGCAGACACGCACACTGTGACCAGGTGTCTGTGGACGTTTCCCGTGCCCCCTCTCATTCGGTCCTGGAGTGGGCAGACAGGAGGCTCGGTGGAATCGCATTTTCTTTTCATTAGCCAGAAAACGGTGACTTAGAAAGCTTAGAGACTTGACCCGACTGAAAAGAAGTGAGAAATGGTGGGCCTTGAAAATGACCTCAGGTTTTCTCACTTCGCAGAATATAGCCAAACTCTGCTGCAGTTAAATATTTAACCTTGTCCTCCCTGCCTGATCAGCAATAATAATCTGCTTTGTGTTGGTATTTCCTGCTGTGCTGCTGACAGTTACCTGGAAGAGAAGTTGGGGTGCTTCACCGGGCTGGGAAGAGTTTAGTACATCAGAAAGCAGGTCTAATGAAGCAAGTTTATTCTATATCTATAAAGGCCAAGTTGACTCGCACATGGGGGCGATACATATAAAGCTCTCGCTGGCGCCAATTGCACGCATGTGTTCCCGTCTGTCATTGCTGATCGTGAACTTGGCTGACACTTCTATTATAGAGAAAGGGCGCACGGCCGATATTAAGATATTTCTTCTATTTAATTTCCTTTCAGTGTGCACGAATCCGCGTGCCGGCCGCTAGTGAGTATATAAGTTCTTTGGTTTATCTCTCCTCGTCCCCCAGCCCCACACGGAGGCCGGTCAGTCTGTCCCAGGCCTCCCTGCTTCCGGTCTTGTTTGGCTGGCCCATTCGTTTTGCTCCTTAGCTTCCACAGCGAAGGGAGCCCCTGTGCTCTCTGTCCACGTAGCACGGTGTTCCCCAGTCCGCCCAGGCTGTCCCGCGGGGTGGGATCCCCCCTTCCTCACAGCTGCCCAGTCCTCCGCGGAGTAAGGTCCCCAGCTTCTTACCCTCTCGTCACAGGACCCCCCTCCGGCTGCGTCCCGTCCTCCAGGGCCTCCGGACGGTCACGCCCTCCCGCGGCCCCTTCTGCACCCCGGAAGTGGGGACTGCCCGGCTCATCGTGGGCTCCCCTGGGAGCAGGGCCCCACAGCTCTGGCCGGCGCGGCCGCGGGACTCACAGTGCTTCTCCTGGGGGGCGCTGGCCGGGCTGCCGAGGAGCCGGTGGACGGGGGTGCTGCCGCGGCTTTGGGAAACGCGGCTGCCCCCGAGCGCCGGGCGTTGTTTTGCGTTGGATGTGTCTACGCCGTTTGCGTGTGCGTGTGCGTGTGTGTGCGTGTGTGTGCGTGCATGTGTGCACGTGTGTGTGTGTGTGCGTGTGTGTGCGTGTGCGCGCGCGGCTGCCCCATCAGGTGGCTGCTGGGAGCGTGCTCCCTGGGTAAAGCGGTCCCCTCTTCCCAGCCCAGGGATTGGGGTTGCCTCTTTGTCTAGAGTTTGAAACAATCTTTCATAAACCACCCGAATTGCCTCCGTGAAAAATGTAAGATTTTAACCTAGCCAAACATGCTTATTTTCCGTTGATTTCTTCTATAACGTGTGTGCACATTTAATGTTAGAAATGATGAGACGGTCCTTCCCCGCTTGAGCACATTGAATATGTCCCCACAGCTCAGTGTGCGTGGCTTTGTCCTGCGCACCGTGCCTTCACCCGGTGAGAATTGTGTGGCTGCAGGGACCACATGCCTTTCGCCCCCGGACGTTCACTGCCGGGAGGTACCGTCCGCTCCCGCCACTTCGCGCAGCCTTCCCTCCAGGGATCTGCTTCCGGTCTGTGTCCTCCATATGTAAATCCACCCCCACCCCTTTAGTTATCGCTTCCAGGCGTTTTAAGGCGAAAACCCACACGGCTGCATGCCTAACGGTGTGAGGACCTGCAGGTCTGACACCCACGGAGGATGCATGCTCAGAGACCACAGAGGACACGTGTGCAAAAATCCCATGAAGCGTTCATTGACAGTGCATTTCAGCCAGACAGTGTGGTGCTGAGCACCGTTTTCTAGGAGGAAGGAGGGACACGTAGAGCGAGGCACAGCTTGGTGCTTGGGAGCACGACGGTCAGGCCCACGATGGAGTGCGAAGGCGCATCGCCTGCGTTTGCCGCCGAGGGTCCGCGCTCGGGCACCCAGAGCGGGAACTAACTGAGTTTTCAGAATTCCTTGGAGAAAGCCCCTGGGAGAGGATCTGGCGACACTGAAGCCCTGAACCCTGCCCCATAGCTCCCGGGTTGCTGAAATGTGTTCTTGAACAGAGTGCACCTTTTATTTTCACTAATCCAGCCTGTTTTTGTTTTCCAGATGTTGTTTTGTGTTTGCTTTGGGATACCTCATAGTGTGCCAAATTACTAGAGTCTATATCTTTGATTATGGACAATATTCCGCTGATTTTTCAGGGTAAGACGAACATTTTGATTTAGTAGCCTTTTTTTTCTTTTCCTTTCTGCTCTAACCTGTGGGTTAAAGGGCGATATGTATTGTAGTTCCCCTTGTAGCTCCCGTGGAAAGCCGTTACGAACATGCAGTCGAAAAGCCTGTTGTGAACGTAGAAATGTCCTTGTCACGTGGTCTCCTGTCGTGTTACAAAAGCCACCACGCAGCCTCTCCTCTCCCACGGGCGTGAGCCAGGCCGGTGGCCGGCAAACCGTGGCTCTCGAGCCACCTGCGGCTCTTGGGCCCCTGGAGTGTTCTAACGTCTGTTCTTCAAAATAGACTCTCGCCCAGGCCGAAAGCCGACGTCTGCGTGAGGGCCACGACGTTTCCATCGCACTGTCCGTGCGCGCCCACGTGTGGTGTTTTGTGGGAGAGCCACACTCAAGGGGCCAACCAGCCGCAGGTGGCTCGTGAGCCAGGGTTTGCCGACCACTGAGCGAGTCTGAACAGGCAGCCATCACGCTTGCCCCTTGGTGTCTGGCATTGAACGCTGCTCCCGATTCCGGGAGAAATGTCTGCGGTCCTCACCAGTCCTTGCCCACCAGCCCCCCCCCCGAGCCCACCCCGCACCCCCTCTCTCTCCCTCGCCCCCTCTCCCTCTCTGCGCTCTCTGGCCCCTTCCTCCGGCCTCGGCAGCTTCTGCATGTGCTCTGGCGGCTGCCCTGCCTCTCAGCGTCCTTCCTTCGGGCCAGGGTGCTGGTCTTCCGAGACCCCCTCCGCAGGAAAGTTCTCTCTGCTTCCTCCTGGCCCTCGGAAGGGCGGGGCGGGCTCGGCTCTTCCCTGCCGAGGGGGCCTCGTCCTCTGCCCTCCTCTCTGCCTGTCACGGGCCCACCCCATGTCTGCGGGGAGACCAGCCCGGGCCACGTCCCCAGGACTGGCCTCTGGAGGGGCGGGAGCTGCGGGAGCCTCCGGCGTCCCTGAGCCCGCGGCACGCTCAGGGACGGGACGTGAAGCCCGCCTGGACGTCCGTCCCTACCACCGGACAGGACACACGGCGGCCTGACCTCCGACCGGAGGACAGCCACGTGCAGACACTGGAGTGGAACCGGCTGTGGAAGAAACCGCCCGGCAGCCGGCGGAGCCGGGTGTGAGCAGCGGGCAGCCTCGGGCCGGAGCGTGAGCGGGGAACGCGCGCTGCTCCTTACTGAGATGAAGGTGGAGCTCACCGCCATCAGACAGCTTCACACACAGGCCGGGCGCGAGGGCATCGCGTCCAAAGGACACACCGCCCGGCCAGGCACGCTGACCTCACCCCGAGACCTGGGCCGGCCGTGAGCAGCGCCACGGGGACCGAGGCCCGGGGGTCAGGCCGGCGCCCCCGTGCTGCCCCAGCTCTCATCTGTCCCAGAGAGAGGAGCGTGTGAGCGGACCCGGTAGATCGGGCCCCACGGGCGCCCTCGGGAGCCTGCAGAGAGACGCCCGTGTGCTCACAAGTCGGGAGAACCCAGTGTGTCTGTCTGGGGGGCCAGCGCCGCGGGGGAATGCAGCCTCCTGGAACAGGGCGGCGCCCTGGACACCCCAGCGAAGCAGCGCCCCTTCGGGGAGCAGGCAGAGGAGCCTGGCCGGGCGCGGGGTCCATGCAGCAGTCACCGCTCTGACCGGCACCTGTTACCGGAAACAAGCGCTGCGTCGGCGTTCGTAACGATCCTCAGGAAGACACGGCCCCACCGCCTTCAGAGAGCGAGGTCACACCTGGCGCTGTAAACACCTAGCATGGTGTGGGACTGTCCGTCAGGAAAGACACCGCCCAGGGTCAAGGGGCTGGTCTGTATCAGATGGACAGATTGGCTGCAGGGACCATCCTGGCCAGACTCAGCTGAAGGGCCCTCCCCCTCCTCTCTCTCCCTCCCTCCCTCTCCCTCCCTCTCTCTCCCTCCCTCTCTCTCTCTCTCTCTCTCTCCTCTCTCTCTCTCTCTCCTCTCTCCCTCTCCTCTCCTCTCCTCTCTCCCTCCCCGTTCCTCTCTCGGCTCTCTCTCACTCTCCGCTCTCTCTCTCCCCGCCCTCTCCTTCCCTCTCCTCTCTCCACGCCTCGCTCCTCTCACTCTCCTCTCTCCTCCCCGTCCCTCTCTCTCTCCATTCCTCTCTCCTTCTCTCCCTCTCCCCCCCGCTGCCCTCTCACCAATCATCTTATCCCCTTCCTCTCTCTCTCTCTCTCTCTCTCCCTTCTCTCTATCTCTTCTCTCTCCTCCTCCCTCCCTCTCTCTCTCTCTCTCTCTCTCTCCTCTCCCTCTGTCCTCTCTCGCTCTCTTCTCTCTCTCTCTCTCTCTCAGAGAGAGAAAAGCCCCTGGAGGCATGCTCCCCTTGGACCTCTGGGCAGGAGGGCGCTGAGGGCTGTTGGCAGAGAGGACCCTGACTCATTCCCAATGCGGTCAAACGAACACCTGCACTCGGCGGCAAAGCGCCGGTGGAGCGGAGAAGAGCGCCCCCTTGGGGAGGGGAGCCCGGGAGCGAGCCTGCGCTGCTGAGGGGCCGCCGGCAGCTCTTTCACTGGCCGTGTCACGTGCACGCGGCGAGAGAGACTTACTCTGTGTGCGTGGTGTGTGTGCACCGTGTGTGCGTGCATGTGCGTGTGCGTGCGCGTGTGGTGTGTGTATGTGCGCATGCGCCTGTGGCGTGTGTGTGTGTGCGTACGTGTGCGTGTGCGTGCGCGTGTGAACGTGGTGCGCGGTGTGGGTGTGTTCGTGTGGTATGTATGTCTGTGCACATGTGTGTGCTGTGTGCATGTGGTGTGTGTATACGTGTGCGCGCGCGCGTGGTGTGTGGTATGTGCGCATGCGCCTGTGGCGTGTGTATGTGTGTGGCGTGTGTGCTGTGTGTGTTGTGTGTGGTGTGTGCGTGGTGTGTGGTGTGTGTATGCGTGTGGCGTGTGCGTGTGTGTGAGTGTGTCAGTGGAGTTGTAAGGGCAATGACTGTGCAGTCACTCTGTTGCAGAAACATGT